CCGCCAATACATCTAATGGCGGGGGAAGCAAAAAATCTAAAGAAAAATCCAATGCGGGAAAAAGTACTCAGAAGCTGATGCCTTTACAAGCTCCAGCCGAAGTTCGCAAGTTCCTTAACAAAGCGCCTGGACATTCGTTTACAGGTAAAAGTGTACTATTCAAATGCACTTCAATTTGAATCTATCGAAAAATTTGTATTATTTTTTTGTCCGTATCTATACATTATTTTTGTCGGGTTTGTCTCCCAAAACTAACAATTGGTCGATTGCACCGGATGCGATCTTCCCCGACAAGCTGGGATTAGTGCTAGTTCTGATGTGCAAGTTTTTTTAGAATTTTTCTTCACATTACAGCTTTTAGGAACTGCAAGATTAAGCCGGTCACGAAAAGTGGAAATTCGAGCGCATGGGGAAATCTACGACAATAGATTAAATTTATCAAAACTATAATATTTTATTCAAACTTCTAAATGTACTTTTTGCCTAAATAGCATGGAAAGCCCGGTTGCTTCGTCCATCTGAATCCAACAGCCAAACAGCTGCCTCATCGAAAGACGACATTCACAGTCAATTCCTGGCCGAAAAATACTCCAGAAAATGGAGACACCGAGTGAAAAAAATGAAAGCAACCAACCGCCTAGGTCTGACTGCCTCCGCATCTTGGATGGAAATCGTCTTATTCAACAGGAGTTCCCGCCAGGCCAGGATCGTGGCTTGCAGCATAATAGAAATGATGTGCAGCAACTACGAAAGAAAGAAAGAAGTCGTAACACTTCTCACTTGCTTCTTGTCCAAGTTATCAGATGCTGGGGAATCATCAGCTGAATTTTTACAACTGTATCAACATCTTATACAGGACTCTCCCTGGAAGCAGTACTTAACCATACAGGTTAGTTTTGTTCTCAGAATGTGCCAACTTTGTTCGAATTGTGCTATTGCAAACATCCTATTTGAGGGATGTACTATTTAATTGCATGTTCCGATTTTTTCGTGTTTTAAGTGAAAACGATAAATCTAAATCGATTTCATTACAAAAACAACCCCATGAGTGCACTTTTTTTAAAACGTTAAAACGCGAAACACTAAAATCACAAAGGTTAATTTTTGCGAACCAAACTATCTTGTATTGTATGCAATTTCCACTCAAAATTCAATTTGTTCTTAACCCAATAGGGTTTGCCATTGGTTCTGGCCAATTTAATGACACACGAGATAGAGCAGTTGCATAGACTGGAAGCGACTACTCTTACATCAGACTTGGCACAAGGCTACGCTCTCAATCAGCTAACAGATCTATTGGCCGGTTTTCTGGGAAATGTTGCAATCAGAAGGCAATACAAGTCCCGGCTTGTTGGTAAATATAATGCTAACAATAAATTTGAAGAATTCGGTATTAATTTGACGACATCAGGTGCTGTTTTGAATGGATATCTATCATTAAGGCGACTAGTCGTGCAAAGGACTAGACTGATCGATGAAACTCAGGAAAAACTGCTGGAATTGTTAGAGGAAATGACAACAGGTTGGTAATTTGGTGCAATTTTTAGTAGCTTTTGACTGTCTCATTATGTTTTGCGTTTGTAACTCGTGAGTCCTAAAAATATTTTCAGGCACCGAAGAAGAAACCAAAGCTTTTATGTCGATTTGCATCAAAACAGTGGAGCGGTACAGTTTTCAAGATATTCTCACACCCGTATTTATATTCGAAAGACTGTGCTCCATAATATATCCAGAAGAAAACGACATTGGAGAGTTCTTCCTTACACTGGAGAAAGATCCGCAGCAAGAAGATTTCTTGCAAGGTTGTTCTGGTTACAACTTGAATTATACATCAAGTAACATTTTTGATATTTTAGGACGGATGTTGGGAAATCCCTATTCTAGTACCGAAGCCGGACTGGGCCCACTTATGCGGGATGTTAAGAATAAAATATGTCAAGACTGTGAACTTGTGGCGCTTCTCGAAGATGACAACGGCATGGAACTGCTGGTTAACAACAAAATCATGAGTTTGGACTTACCTGTAAAAGATGTGTACAAGAAGATTTGGCTCTCAGAGGGCGGTGATCATGATGCAATGAGAGTTGTATACAGAATGAGGTGATTTATATACATGAACCCAGCCCAATCGTTATTTAATTATTTACTATTTGCTTCAGAGGTCTGTTAGGCGATGCCACTGAGGAATTTATAGAGACATTGGACAACAAAGGCCAGAGCGCTGTAGATAATGAAGAAGTTTATAAAATGGCAAACGTGTTAGCTGATTGTGGAGGTTTGAAAGTTATGGTTGCCAGATTGGGCTCCATTCAGAATGCCTGGCGAGCCAAACCGCTTTTACAGGTGACTACACCTAAGTTTTACATGAATAATATCTGCTATACTACATGTTTTTAGGTATTGCTGAAGTTATTCAGGCTGAGCATTAAAGTGAACAAATGCCAGGAAGTCCTGATCGAGCCGGCTTTAGGAGCCGTCGAAGCCTTTTTGAGAGTACTACAGTTATGTTTAGAAAGCGCCACTGAGTCTAGGTAAATACCGATTTTTGTTGCAAATCAGGTTTCTTTATGAGTGTGTTTCATTTAGTCAATCTGCCGTAATCGAACAACTGCTTGAGATCATAGAAACGTTGATGGCCAAAGCAACAAGCAAACCGTTAGACGTTTTTGAGGAGCTGTCCGTAACCTTTGGTGGAAGTGAATATGTAACATCTTTGCTCTCATTTACGGTATGAAAGTTGAATGTTTACTGACGAAATTTAATGCTATTATTTATCGCTATTCTTTAGTCACATCCCTCAGTAAGAAACAACACTGCTGTTCTTGGTCACTTGACTCGAGTTCTTGCCGCCTTGGTCTACGGAAACCAGAACAAAATGGATACATTGTTGGAACATTTTAAGGACGTAATCACATTTAATTCGTAAGGGACCACAGCGAATATCTGCTTATTCAAGCAAATAAAATATCGATTCGTTTTCAGGTACGATAGCGACCACACAACTGAAGATCAACAAAAGCTGGAAATGTTTTGCATGTTGACCAACAACATTGAAAGAAACGCAATCGGCAATACTTTAAAGGATTACATACTGTCGTTTAATATAGTTAAAGAAGCTTTGGAATATATATGCATTCATGCACCATGTGTTAAACCCACACTACTGAGAACCGACAGCGACGAACTGAAAGACTTTATCTCAAAACCTGCTCTCAAATATATCCTACGGTACTCTAAACAAGTAAATCTCCTCAAATTTGTCTAATTGTATTTATTAAAGGTTCCTAACTGGCCTGGCACACAGTCACGAAAACACCCAACTCGAAATATCCAGAGCTGACACCATACCAATTATTCACCGTTTAGAACAAGTTTCTTCGGATGAACATGTAGGATCACTAGCTGAAAATCTGCTAGAGGCTTTATGCACCAATCCAGCAGTTGCTAAGCAAATCGAAGAGGTACAGTTGCGAATGCTTGGGTATGGTCATAATTATACTTAAATTTGAATCTTTAGGTCCGAGAGTTCACACGATCCGAGAAGAAACGACTGGCAATGGCCATGAGGGAAAAACAATTAGGACAATTAGGGATGAGAACCAATGATAAGGGACAGGTATTTACGTTATGCACAATACAATTAAATGATAGATGAATAGAAAGCTAATAATCCGAAATGTCGATTGGTTCGAAACAGTTTAGCCCGGAATTTTCACTTCGATCCAAGTATCACTAAATCGCCACTTTTCCTCACTAAAATTTTCGGTTTTTTTTTCGGGCCCAAAGCGGATGAACTCTGTTGTTTCATCGAAATATGACTATTACAAAAGAACAATTTCACAGCGAGCTTCATTATAGTCAATCATTTGATTTTTCCCAATTTTTCAGAAACATTTGTTTTTTGACGATGATTCTGCAGATCGTCTTCATTTCACACAATGAACGTCTCAATGTTCTTTTAGGCAATTAAACATTGATAAACGTAAGCATTTTAGGTTTTCTTCTTTTTTATGAGGTTCCCAATTATTTTTATGTACTCTTACTGCGTGTTTTACCAATTCGAAGCACAACAAAACAATAATTTGAAAAAGCACCACTTAATCTAGGGTCAACTTTTCTGCGTTAAGTTATTCTTACGTATTGCGTTGTTTAACTATGTAACTAATATTTACATAAACAGTTATTAAAAACGACTTTTTACACAGTTTTGCGTGAAATCAGAGCACGTTATACATTAATAATTTTAGGTGTAAACCCTAAATACATTTCAAATAGAGGATAAAAATTGATTTCAGGTTACTGCAAAATCGACCATTTTACAACAAATTGAGGAATTGGGTGAGGAATCTGGATTGGTGTGTTGTATCTGCAGGGAAGGATACAAATATCAACCCACAAAAGTTTTGGGTATTTACACCTTCACGAAACGATGTAACGTAGAAGAATTCGAAGTCAAGCAGCGCAAAACTGGTGGTAAGTTTTACTGCCTTTCGCTGCACGCAAAAAGGTTTTTAATTTGAACGTAATATTTTAGGCTATTACACTGTCACCCACTTTAATGTGGTGCACATCGATTGCCACATGTCGGCTGTACGTTTGGCTAGAGCTCGAGACGAATGGGAGTCTGCTGCTCTACAAAATGCGAATACCAAATGCAATGGCCTTCTGCCGTTATGGGGTCCTCAGGTGCCTGAATCTGCTTTTGCGAGCTGCCTTGCCCGGCATAACACTTATTTGCAAGAAAGCACGAACCATCGGTAAGTTGTATATTAACCGACACGATTCCAAATTGTTTAAGGGAAATTCTTCCACAGAGTAAACATTCTTAAAAGCTTACATCGCATTTGACCATTGAAAATGATTGAAACTTTCACAAGTTCAATCAGTTTTCATTGTTTTTGTGTTTTTTTATTGGAAAATAATTCGTTTGTGTAGATTCTATTGTAACTTCAAAAATCTAATTGTTATTGAGTTTTCAATTATTAAAATTAAAAATTTTCAACGTTGTACTCATTCAGTATGGCGTAAGATTGTAGTTATTATTGCGTAGCCACTCCAATTAACGCAGATTTGTGCTGGTAATTAAAAAATAAAACGAATTTAATTTTTATATTTTAAATTTTCCAACTTATTTTCTCTGAAGTATTTCATATCGCCCATTTTATAATTTATTTAAGCCTATTAATTGAATGTGTTTTAGTGATATTTTGCATGGAACTACGATTCACGACTTGAAATTGCTCATGCTGCGTTTTGCCCAAGAAAAATCGTTCCATGAAGATACTGGCGGTGGAGGACCTCAAAGCAACATGCATATGGTGCCTTATCTGATTCATGTAGGGCTGTATGTCATCAACACGTAAGTTCTGTCGGGTCATTAACACGTTATTACCATACAATTAATAAGACAAGCTTTTTAACATGTTGATTAATTTATTTCCAGGACAAGGGTTTACTCGAGAGAATTTGGCGCACTTTCAAGTTACACTACAAACGATATTACAGCGGATTTAGCCTATCAAGCAGATGGTCCTCTCTACATGGCAACAATGGCTGTTTTTCTGAAGAGCAAAAATGAATGGGAAAAAGACCGATACGCGCACTTGTCCAGGTAAATTATTGCAGAATAATAAGACTTCGTTTGGTAAATAAATGTGATTTTTCAGATTGTTAGCGATAGCTCAAACTAGATTCGTTCAACCGAGTGGACCTGGAACAGGTCTTAGTGATAAATCTGTCAAAGACTACAGTGTTTATAAGCCTTATTTAGTATTTTTTGGATTGATAGATGCTATTTATAAATATTTCTTTAAGGTAGGTTATCATCTACATGGCATAAAAATTAGGTTTTATTTAATCGATTTATTTCTTAGGATGTCGAGGGTGAATTTGAGCAATGGCCGGCAAATCTAGCTGATTATATTCGGCATAATGATGAAGCTTTAATTAAAAATTCAGAGAAATTATTAAGTTACTACACAGAAGAGTTGTTGCCCTGTACTTCTTTTGGTGAATTTTGCGATGTCGTTGGTAAGTTAATTTATCTTCAGTTTAATTTTTCTCGTGTTTACTGTTTTGTGTTTGTGTTTACTGTTCGACTATTTTCTGTTCATATATCAAAACGGTTCTTAGATCAATTACTCATTTTTTTAATTTCTTATTTTTTTATTAGATGCTAAGCTATGAGCTCAAATAATAATGTTAACTATGTATTAACAGTCGTTGTTTAAAGTGCATTACGGCAACAGACTTTTTTTAAATTATTTATCCATTCTTTTATTGGTACATGTTTTAAACCTTCCTTAATTAATTTTTATTTTTATTGAATTAAATGTTGAAGTTTGTAATTGTTTGCAGGTCTTTTGGAAGTTATATCCGACTCTGATAGCTACCTTACTTCAGTTTTAGCCAGTGTAAAATAGTCGAAAATTGAGGTACCATTAATAAAAATCACGAGAGGCTGTTAAATTGAGCTTGTCTGAATATATTTATAATAATCACAAAGTTTACTGCTGTTAACTGAATTAATTCACGCAATTGATGTAATTTATTATTTATCTTTAAATTAAATCATGGAAATATTGATAAACACTTAACTGCATATACGTGTTTTATTTATTATATTTGGTATCTTGAAATATCCAGTAAGGTAAAACTAAACATTAGAAGTGTTAGTGATATTTCTGATAATCTCCCTTATTGCGAATTTAACAAATAGGGTGCGGTTTAACGAACCACGCCCGCATATTTGAATTCAAGGAAGAAGAAGACTAAATGTCAAGTCAAGAATCAAATTAATGTCGTTTTTGGCGGTTTAGAGATATTGTTGATGTTCTTGTGTGTTTATTGTATAAACAATTTGTTATAAGCAAAATTATCATGTCTAAGAAACCGACTCAATCAAATACACTATTTAACTATTTTTCATCTCCGAAAACACCAGTAACTCCCAAAGCAAATGTGGAAAGTGGCATCAAAAGTAGTTCAAAAGACACTACTCCAACCACTAGAAACGAAAACCGACCGGCAGGCCCAAAAAAAGATGGTAAGTTTATAAGTAACTTCATTATTGTATAAGCATGTTACTGTGTAAATATTCATTACAGTTAAAACATGTGTTAAGATTACGACTTCTTGGTTATACCTATGTTGTATTTGCCTCCTGCTGCAATAACTTCTGTTTTAATATAAAATCGAAATAAATGCAATTTAAAAGTACCTGTGAGTTTCCCGTGTGCAAGACAAAATATGAATTACCGAATTTACTATTTAGCAGGTATATGTATTTTTTGCTCGATAGTGATCAGAAAATTAAATGAACTGGAAAGCGAAAGCTTGACTATTTAATGTTGAAAAATTGACCGAAACCGCATTAAAATTTCCACAAAAACAGCACTTTAAATATTGCAAAAACCATAATACCTATAAACTGCGCTCGATGCTACAGAAAATACGCAAACCTGTACATACACATGAGCAGCATAAATGTTGCAATATAGAAAATACCTACTACCCACTAGATAATAAATTAGTCTGATTGTAATCTTGAGCTGGACGACTCATGCCCATAAAAGCCGCTAGATGGGAAAAAATTAAATAGTCGAACGGCTTCCGGCCGCTGGTATTTCCTAGCGCAAAAATAATATGTTTAGAGTGTTCAATTAGGAAAAACAGCTAAATTCAAATACGTAGACCTATAAGGGAGCTATCTGCTGGACCATCACAAAGCAATAAACAAGTCCCACCTACCTTTAGGCACTTTGGTCTGCATTCTGGGTTATTTTTACTTTTGTGAATTGCAAAAAGTTTAAGTTACAACAGAAAAACGCTATACATACATGTTGATATCTTTATTTCGGAAACAATCCAAAGTGGGTTGGCAACAAAGCACCTTTATGTTATATTTAATTTTGAAGGTTTATATGAAAAAAGTTTACTGCGGAAAATTTAATGCTGAAAAAACTGAGTAAAATAACATAAATGTCAAAAGACACCAATAAATAAAGCAACTTACGTAACGCGACAATAAAAAGTGTTATTCGCAGCAAAAGCAACCAAGGCATATTTTTCTGAGTATAAGAGAGTAGACTGTAAGTGTTCATATAAAAACAGTCTACTGTAGAAAACTTTTCGCGTTAACGTATAATATGTGACTTTAACTTAATTTCACAGAAAAAAAACATTAAAAACCCAATCGAGAATCCAGAAACTCCCTCGTCGTTCCTCATCGAATAATTTTTACATGTAACGATGCCATAAAATACAATAAGTCAACAATATGGGACTAAACGCTCTACCAGAGGTTCTACTCTTACATGGTAACCAGGGGCAAAGGCAAAAAACACTTACCGAAGCTGCCTAGTGCCACCTACATAGAAAGAAAAATATTCTTTAGTATAATAGAAATGTTGTAATGAAAACCTAATTATTAAAAATTACCAAAGAAAAGACAGAAAAACGTAGATGCCATCAAGCTTCAGTTGCTTCTAAAAAAAAAAACGTTTGTTCTTACCAGCTTTCCGGAAGCTGGCGCCCCATCCATTTTGCACCCATTAATCGTCCAAAAGCACACACTATACTTGAATTGAATTGAAAACTTGCACTAAATCCTGTAATTAAAATTAAGTTAAGGGCAGGATAATCTACCGCACTCGCCCTAGTAGCTACGCACCAAATTGTATCCCGGCAAGACACAAAGAACCGACGACCTATTTCGATCGGTGCCCGTAACAAACTGAAATCAATTCAATTCAATTCTATTCAATTTTTCGAAGAAACTCAGACCATATCGATGTTTTATGATGATATAATCGTCCCTTAGATGAGTCATTGCTTGACTTTGCAGGTCGATTTCAATTTATTTATTGTTGGCAATTTTGTGAAAGAAACAAACAAAAAAGAAAAAGAAAGTGACGCAATATTTTCAAAGACAAGTTTCACGTTCCCACTCATCTGCAATCATGGGTAAATAGACTTTTTGATGCAACATTTTTTAAATATGTACAAGCTTTTGAGTCAGTTAGTTACTAGAGTTTAATAAGTGTTTGAGCATGTTTATATTTGTGGAGGCTGTCTACATGGCAGATACAAGATGCATAACTTTCCAATGCTTCTTTTTGCTCTCATTATTAAGAGCGGCGGAATACGTATCTTCATTTTCACACGATTTATCGGATGAGTCTTTTGCTAGGTTTGTGGGAAACTTTTACAGCCAATGGTCGTGTAAAGACTGAAAAACTTAAATTAGTAGAAATTTTTTAGAATAATATTAAATTGTTTTGACTGAGTAATGCAATAGATAGAAAACTATTCAAATTTTTAAGTATTTTTTTATATAATTCTTGTGCAAAGATTGTCTCATAGTTTTATTATGCTGTGCAGTTATAATGATGGGAAATTGTTGTTTGCCCCAAGACAGCAATTTCCAATTTATGTCGATTCAGTCAAACCTAAAGCAAAAGGGAAAAATAGCACCATCCCAATAATTAAAAAGGAAAAACAACCGATACACACAGAACTCGATGGGATAATAATAAGAACTCACATTTAGAAATGTTTTCCATAGACCACGGCTTCAAAGCCCGGAAAACATTCCTAAATGTGATTTAACCGGCCGTGAAAGCCTTCATAATAATAAGAACTTCTCAGTACTGTAAAAACCTGTTACTTCATAAAAACTTCATCAAAATACAGTTAAAACCTCTGTTAAGATTACAATTTTTTGGTGATCTGTTCGGCTTGCTTCCGGTTGTGCCTGTATAGAAAACGAAATATAATTTTGCCATTTTAATATGTTTTTGTCTAGATAGTGATGAGGAAATTAAGTTCACTGCAAAGCGCCGCCGAGCTGCCCTAATTGATAGTGATTCAGAACCAGAAAATGAGTCTCCAAATAAACGAAAAATAGCTAAACTTGTAAAACTGCCTGCTAAGAAGCAGAAATATGAATCGTCTAGTGAGGAACCTTCAGGCGAAGATGATTGCTCCTCAAGTGAAGAATCTCGAGAACAGAAAGCTGCTGATTCCACCAAAAGGACAAGTAAATCCAGTTCATCAAAAGACTCGTTAATGACTTCATTTGGTTATACCAAAACAGACGAGAATGTAGAACTAAAGACAGAGAACGTTGCCGACAGCAAAGTTAAGAAAGCAAAAAATAAAGCTGGCGGAGAGACCAGTCTGGATTCTGGATGGTTACACGATACTCTTCCATTTTTAAAGCCTGACAAAATAAGAGATGCTCAAAGAAGGTAAGCAGTTTGAAAAACTCTGTTGCCATTTTAGCGTCACACATTCCCCATTAAAAAAATAATTATTTCATCTGTACCGTGCAATTGCTGATTTCGCCAAACAGCAAAAGAAAATTCTGATTTGAATTAGCAAACATTTTAATATAATGTTATTTCACGTTGTGTTTTAAAGGCCTCCCTCTGATCCTAATTATGATCCACGAACGATTTATGTGCCCAAAGATTATCTAGATTCGCTCACTCCAGCCATGCGACAGTGGTGGATATTGAAGAGCGAAAATATGGACGCAGTTCTATTTTTTAAAGTGGGGAAATTTTATGAGTTGTATCATATGGACGCTGTAGTTGGGGTGCAGCAATTGGGCTTTTCCTATATGAAGGTCAGTGCTTTCTGCTATGAATCGGATCTTCTGCAATTTATTATTTCTAGCTTTTAATGAGTATAGTGCTAGGGACTTTGGGATGAATCTAGTAACAATGTTGTGAAATTTTCAGGGGGAGTTTGCACATTCCGGGTTTCCAGAAAGTGCATATGGTAAGATGGCTACGACGTTGATTGATAAGGGCTTTAAAGTAGCTAGAGTTGAGCAAACGGAAACTCCTGAAATGATGAACGAACGGTAAGACCGTCAAGATGAATTTCTTGAAACACACATCGAATCGGATTTTTTTTAGTTGTAAGCAACTGAAGAAAACTACAAAATTTGATAAAGTAGTTGCAAGAGAGATTTGTCAAGTTACCACAAAGGCATCGTGTATCTATGGAGCTCAAATGCCTGAAGCTAGATCTGAAATTGGAACATATTTGTATGCGGTAGCTGTAAAGGTGGGTTCTAGTTAACATTCAACGCAAGAAACGTAAAGGTATGCTTTGTAAAAATTTTAGCTAAACACTGATAACTCGAGCAGATTTGGTGTTTGTTTCATAGAAACATCCATTGGTACTTTCCACATATCAGAGTTTAATGATGATAAGCATTGCTCTAAATTATTGGCGCTTTTTGCCGAGTACACTCCTGGTTTGGTAAGGACAGGAAAATATTATACTGTTACTAGACGGTATTTAGTGGTTTTCAATTTTAGATTTTAACTGAAAGAGGATCAAACTATGGTCCGTTTAAACATCTACTAAGTACGCACCTAAAGGACGTTATGCAAGAGACAATGGCATCTAAGTCCCAGTTTTATACCGCCGCTGCCACACTGGAAACCTTGTTTTCGGAATGCTACTTTAAGAATAAAGAGGGAGCATTCGAATGGCCCGAAGCATTTCAGGAATTTGCCGAAGAATGTAAGATTATAACGTTAAGATTTCCCTCATTCCCGACTTATTTTAATTGCTGATTTTTTTATTAGGTAACCCCAAGTCACAATATGAACTTGCGCTAAGGTCATTAGGAGCAATCCATTGGTTTTTAAAGCATTCCCATTTGGACATACAACTGTTTTCAATGAGGCTGTTTGAAAAGTATGAACCGGTTAATTTGAAGAGTAGCTCAGAACATAAACATGTTGAACGCGATTACATGGTACTAGATTCTACTACGATTAATAATCTGAGTTTGCTTGGAGGCAAAGGCACGTTACAGAAAACTCTAGATTTTTGCAAAACTCCGTTTGGTAAGAGGTACGTAATCACGTACTTCTATTATTTCCACGAAAATACATAGAAAATGTCGAAATTACAGACTGCTGCCGCTTTGGATATGTCGGCCTCTTTGCAATGTAGAGAAGATTAATCTCAGATTGGATGCTGTAAAAGAATTATTTGAAAATCCTCAGAAACTGAAGGCGTGCCAAGAGGTCTTAAAAACAATGCCCGATTTGGAGCGGCAAGTTGCCAAGTAAGTAATTTTATTATTTAAGTCCGCCTCTTACGCGCTGTGATAAACTCGTTGAATACACATTATATTTTTCTAGAATACACACTTATGGGAACAAGTTTTGCTCCACAAATCACCCAGATGGTCGGGCTATATTGTATGAGGCCAAAACTTACTCAAAACGAAAAATCATCGACCTTTTAAAAACTCTGAGGGGTTTTGAAGCGTCCCAGGAAATTGCTGGCATTTTTAAGGGTAAAGTTGTGTGAAATCGTGTGAGTTGTAAATATGCATTTCTGATGTATTTTCAGGATGCGAATCACGCTTATTGCGAAAGATTACCCAGTTTGCTCCAAATGGAATGAACGTTGATTTGAAAGAAACGTTAGAGTTTTTTAAGGTAAGTTACATTGGCAGTTTTCTCAATAAATTAGTTGTGTTTCCGTAATTTTTTAGCAAGCGTTTGACCATACTTCGGCAGAGAAAGAAGGCACGATTATACCTAAACGAGGCGTCGATCAAGATTATGATGACGCCGAAAATGCCATCGAAGAAATAAACAAAGAACTAGGGGATTACTTGAAGGAACAGTCTAAGCATTTTGGTTGCCAACTCAGTTATTTCGGAACGGATAAAAAAAGGTAACATTGTAGTACAGTTTGAAATTGTTTGCCATTTTCATTTTCTGTTAGGTTCCAGTTGGAAGTACCAGAGAATAGAACCAGTAGGGCCGATGGCAATTATCAATTGGAATCTCAGAGGAAAGGAGGCAAGCCGGTCAAAAGGTTTTCTACTAACAGAACAAGGGTAAAACCGACTATTGATTTTTTGTTTAATTTGCTAATGAGATGTTCCTATTATTAGGATTTACTACACAAGATGTTAAAAGCCGAAGCCGAACGGACCAAAATTGTCTTGGACTTGAATAGAAGAATATTTGAGAAGTTTAGCGAAAGGTAAGCAGATTACATATACTTATTTTTATTTATCACACCGAAACGGAGTCGATGTAGTCAAAATTCGTTTTTTTTTGTAATTGTAAAACATTGTACATTTTTGGATTCACTAATTTTGCATTGTACTTGTACAATATTCACATCGTATTGGCCCCTAAAATAAAAACATCGTGTGCCATTTGTTATGCGCTTTTACATAGCTGTTTGATTTCAGTTTATGTTTGCCGCGTCGCTCGGTGGTTTTTTATTATTTTGTTTCATTTTTTTTCAACCGCTTTCAGTTTTAACGTTTTTACCTGGGTAAAGCGACCCTCTTAAAAGCAAACGCTTTCTGTGATGCTGCAGAAGAAAATTAGTAAAAAAGTTTAATTCTTATTAATAACTGAGATATTTGCAAAAAACTAGATCAGAAGGATGACAACAATGTTTTTCAATTTTTTTTTCAAATTATTTAACAATTACGCTTTTTTAGTTCAAATCCAATACTCCAATACAACGATGACCGCGGAAGCTCAACTCTTTTGGTAGTTAACCCTTTTCTTAAAATTATTTATTAGTATTTTCATCCACACAAACTTGAATTTTAGTCAGTACATTGACTGTAAGCGCTTAAGTTATCATGGCACACAGTCCACTAAGCAGTCGTTCAACATTTATTTATATTCAGCTTAATGAGTGGTCTAATTTTGTGCGTTTTTAATATTTTTGTTGATGTTCATAGATTGGGTGACTTTTGTCTCTCATGTTGAATATTTACTCGATCGTTTCTATCTCAACTTTTTATTGTATAATATTGTGCTTTCATCTTAAAATATATTAAATTTGTGCAATTAGTTTAATATACTCAGTTGAATTGATTCTACTACTTGCTAGAGGAAGATGGATTACTGTTGACTATTTACCGCTTTTCAGGTATGATCAATGGCAACAGGTCATTCACTGTCTGTCCATGTTGGATCTTCTATGTTCTCTTGCAGAATACGCGTCGTCCTTCTCCGATGATATTTGTAAGCCAAATGTACTCCCATTCTCAGCACAGGTAAGTTCTACTAGAATCTTTATCCAATGATTAATTTAATTTAATTTTTAGCCTTTAATTTCTATTGAAAATGGAAAACATCCCTGCGCCAAAAACATTGAAAATTTTGTCCCTAACGACACTTTTATGGGTACCGATAATCAAGCTCCTCTCTTACTGCTTACTGGCCCTAATATGGGCGGTAAATCCACTCTTATGAGGCAAGTGTCCATCATTTGCATTATGGCCCAAATGGTAAGTTTAGTGACAGAATAAAATTTCCAAATGTGTGTTCATAAATTGGCTGTACTTGCAGGGAAGTTTTGTTCCGGCCACACAGTGTTCCCTGAGTTTGATAGACAGAGTGTTCACTCGATTGGGAGCTTCGGACGATATAGTCAGAGGCGAATCGACATTCTTTGTTGAATTGAGCGAAGCTTCAACAATTTTAAAGCATGCCTCAAAAGAGTCGTTACTTATTATCGATGAACTGGGAAGAGGCACATCCACACATGATGGTAAGGCGTGTAAATATAATTGTTTTAAGTGAGTATTCAAGCAAACGTTTTGCTTAGGAAATGCCATAGCCACAGCTTACGTGAAGAAACTGATGGACATGAAGTGCAGAACATTGTTTTCTACTCACTATCATACACTTGTGGATAATTTCGTGGGTAACCCGGAAGTACAACTAGGACATATGGTAGGACTTTCATGTTATTCTAACTAATCTGAACTAGCTAAAAATATGCATTTTTAGGCTTGTTTGGTGGAAAACGACAATAATGAAACCGAAGAGTCAGTTACTCTGTTGTACAAGCTGGCAGAAGGCCGCTGTCCCAAATCTTTCGGATTTAACGCGGCCAGGCTAGCAGGATTACCCTCACAAATTGTTGCAAGAGCACGTGAGTTATCCAGAGAAATAGAGGCAGAAGATAAGTGCAGATCTGTGCTGAGCAAGGTGTTCAATACCACAGCAAATCTGGCTGAGGTTATAGGGATGATTTCCAGTTTGGAGGTTTGAATCTTCACTTTCGTTCAAAGATCAGAGCCATCCATATTAACTAGGCTAGTTTGTTGGAAAATAGAAGCGTTTTATTTCGTCTAAGTCGAATATTGCAGATCTGATGCCTGTCCTATTGCCCTTTCATAGAATAGGCCGTTGATATTTTATTTGTTTGTTGTTATATGTTACCAATTTTTGCTTTATGCTAATATTCAACTAAGATTAGTTTACCATAATAAAGCTCTATTTTTAATTTTTATTTAGGCTTATTACCAACTTCTCCACATTTTGTTTTTTCCTCTAAAAAGTATTATTCATATGTGTCCCTATTCGGTTTAACAATGTTTATCCAACAATCAGTTTTCGTTATAATGCCCCCCAAAAAAACTGTGATTTCTTATATATAAATTTCCCTTTATTTACAATATGTACATATCGTCACAAACCAAAACGCCGAAAATGTTTTCACAACGAACAAAAAACAACGATCTATATTTTACGCTTCCCGCCACTGTCCTTACATTTTGGGAATGATATACAAAGAACAGTCAAAAACAAATAAAAAATAAAAAAATGCTTATTATACGTGGATGAATGAGTACTATATTTCAGATGAGCTCTCGTTTCTTATGTTATTTTGTAGAACACATGCGTTTGGTCCGAAGGCAAAATGCGCTCTTGCAGCACACTTTACAATATGATTTATATTTATTTGGGTGGTAAATAGGATAGGGGTGATTTTTCAATCGAATTATACCGGAGAATGGTGAATAATCTTAATGTGGTTCTAGTTGGAAAAGTCGAACAAATTCTAGGTAAAGACGAGCAGTGTGAATTAAACCAGTTTGGAGTTTTTTCAGAAAAATGTTGCCTATCTTGACATGCTTTGAATGGATTGAAATAGTCTTTGACTAGCTTACGATGTGAACTTAAAACCTGGCTTTGCTGCAAATTTTACAGGTTATTTAATGAAATGTCCCAGTTTTGCTTTAAATATCAAAAAATTTCGGGTTTTCCTAAATTAAAATAAAAATCAACGAGCGCTATGTTTTGCTAAAAATATGCGAAATATTCCTAATAGTCAACATCTTCATTAAACAATATCCTATAGAATCTGCCAATTACCAGACAAGAGTTCCTCATTTGCAATCCATTTGGGTAAGTCATCATGCACCTTTTCACCCATCAGCCGCAACCATACACTTGCTCCCAACTCTCATTCACACTAACTACCCTAACTTTGTTTCGGGTGATGCGGTACAAGTGCGTTTGCTGTTGGCGTTTTAAAGCACTGAAGGAGAAAAGCTGTGTAGATTACAAAGGCCACTCCGATAGCCAATAGAGCGTACATAAAGATGTTGAGTTCTGGTTGCCGGTATCTGAAGCAGAATCAACATGAGCAACAGTAGCTGAAGAAAAATTGTGCTTGGGCAACTCACCGGTTTTTCCGAAGCCATTCGAGAACGTCTTTTTCGGAATGTAAGTCGCCCCGGTAAATGCTGGGAAATCTTCTTCGGAAGTAGACTATTGCGGGCAAGTTGGTGACGCCCCATTTTCTCGCATAACGAGCATCTGCCATTTTAACGAATGTTATATCGAAGTTATCGGTTTCACTGTCGATGTTCTCCAATTTGTCCATGATCACTCGAGATTCTTCGGAATTTATTTCATCTAAACCATAATGTATATAGTGAGTAATTTAGCTGAATATGTATTTGCAATTATTTAATAAACGAAATGGGTTTGGTAACTTAAATCATTGTTACAGACTGTATCTGCAACTTACAGAAAAATACAGTGACAAACTCGTTCTCTTCCAGCAGTTTCTCCAACATCTTCTTATTAACTTCCTCGATCTCATTTTTAATTTCGAACACATCCTGCGACGTGAGCCAGTCCAACACCATGTCAGCTTGTGTTAAGTCGCCTTCATATACCTGTTGGACGTCAATCATCAATAGAAAAATCGGTTAAAGATTTTGCGTTGGTCTTCATCATACCATAGGTTTTTTCTTTCTAAAATACATTAGAGCGGGTAGGGTATGGAGGCCTTGATCAGCTGCAGCTTGAGCGCTGCAAATTTTCACAAAGTCGATTCCAAACAGGTCGGCTTCGCCATCGATTTGCTCCAAATTCTCCAAAATTTCTTCGCATTCTGGACAATCTTCATCGTCTGTGAACATCCGCAAGTCAAATTATTTACGTAAAAAATCAAGTGCATGCTTGTGGCTTACAGAAGAATACAGCCAAGAATGGGGATTCGCTCAATAGACGTATCAGCATTCTTTCATTAACTGACTCGATTTCGTCAGCTAATTCTCTGTTATCATCGTCGACCAACCATTCCAATACGCTCTGCTCGTTTTGAAGATCTCCCTCAAAGAGAAGAGGATTTCCGTTTCTAAAGTACACCAAAGCTGGAAAAGTTTTAATACTGTATCTGGAATTAACGAAATATTCATTAGTCCCAGTCCGTAGAAATCGCAGTCTGTAAACCTTTTGGCCAACTGTGGATCCTGTATGCGAACCAAATGGATACCGTAAACGTCGCACTCGTCATCGATTTGCTCCAGTTCTTCCAAAATTTGTTCGCAAATGTGGCAATTTGTCTTGTAAAAATACACCGCTAGATACTGAGTATCTTCAACCATCCGCTCCAACATGACCCTGGTAATCAGCTCAATTCGATCTTCAGTTCTTTGCTGAATTAGCCATTGAAGCACTTCTTCCTCCTCCTCCAAATCGCCTATGCGAGGCAAATTTTTGAATGAAATGGAAAAAACCTATATTTTTTAAATCAGATCCTCATGGATAGTTACCTTCAAACACTCCACCTATGCTTTGTTCAAAATACATCAAAACTGGAAAATCGGTCGCTCCATATTGTTCAGCTATTCGCAGATCGTTGGTTTTTACGAATTTAATCCCGTGCCTTTCACAGTCGTCATCAATGTTTTCAAGCTCTTCCAGGATTTTGGAGCATTGTTCACATTCGTCGCTATCTAGTGTAAAATGCATTTTGAGTAAAGACACTGAAGAGAGTGGAAATTGGTAGAACAATGGGGGATAAGCGTTCGGACAGCTATAATTTTTTACATAAGCTTTTGGTTAGTATAAAGGGAGGTGTTTAAATAGTGGTACATCAAGAAAAGTTTGATTATTCGTCAACAAGTTTGCGATAGTCGGTAGAATACACTGATAGGATCAAGAAATTTGAATCAGGTTTTAAGCTCTTGGTCGGTTTATTGATTTTTCGGTTAGAAATTAAATAGGCATTTATGAGGTCGCAGGAAATGCGTTTCTCATTAGATACTTTGGCCTGTTTGGGTTGATAAAAATCGCATACAACTTCAAATAAATATGTATCTCGGATACACAAATTATGCAGGGTGATTCCTAAATCAATGTCTAGACGGTTATTATAGTTCAACTAATTTGATTAACAAAATATTTTTTAAAAGTGCGTAGTTTCAAATTTGCAACGTGTAAAAAAAAATTTTACATTGTAATAAAAAAAAACATTTACAGTTATTGCTGAAACCCCTTGGAAAATTCGACTGAAATTTTACCGATTATGAGTCAGTAACAATACGTGTTTTGTATTAAAGATATTGCTTGGATATTCACCTTTTCGAAGGTATTCAGTAAAAAAATGATCTGCTGTTTTTAAACGCGAATGAATTATAACCGATTTACGCTGTGCAACAAATCTAATTTAATTTTACATCGTCTTTATCTCAGATTTGTACAAAATATGCGGTTAAGACAGTTTTTGTCAACTTCCTTGTTTTCTATAAATTTCATGTCCTAAATATGGTTTACTAAACGTAATATTAATAAAGAATATGAGAAAAGTTCACGTTCTGAAGATTTAGAAAATTTCCGAGGCAAATTATTCGATTTTAATAAAAAGTTTCTTGTAGTTTTCTTTAACCGACAGTTTACTTATAAATTATGTTTCTGTTTGGGTTAGCAAATTTTGTGAGTCCTTCTGAAAGAACAAAAAATATATTAAAAAACGTAAATTCTATTTGTGCAGTTTGTATCTGAAAAACGGTTTCTGATGCGAACAAATATATACAAAAAGGTTTTAATAGATACAGGAACTTGCTTACGACAAGAACTTAAGGAGTTGGTATGAGAATCGATGCGTCTTAACCTCAGGAAAGCGATCACTTTATATAAATTCACAAATATTCTAAACATTAGTAAATCAAAATATTTAACAACTTTCTGAAATTATGCGAGTTATTGAGTTTATCTAAATTGTGTGAAGTAGTATGGTAAAAAATAAATTAAAAATTTTTTCAATAGTTCACCTGTCGATGCTTTCTTAGTAAGTTATTGATGTATAAATTCTGACCCAATCAATTGGGTTGATTTCCAGCCAACCCAAGTTTTCAAAAATTCATCTGAGAATATAACTAAATGTTGAGATAAATGCAAAATGTTTGCTTATTTAATTTCAGTTGAGTGTAGGTGCGAAATAAGTTTCTATATGCTTGTAATTGTTAAACTCTTATAATTCAAACTAGAATTATTGTAAATTTGTAAAATAATCGCCGTTTAAAGTCCCATATTATATTGCCTTTATTTAATACTATTTTGATAAATACACTTAAATTTTTGTCACCGTTTTTTCTATTAACAGATTATGTCCCTTGCTCAGTGACATTTTTTAAATAAATTTAAGTATCGATTTGGATTTTTTTTATGCAAAATGTTTTTTGTTATAATTTACAGAAATGTGTTTTTCTGACTCGTTTCTACAAGTATATGTAAAGTTTTCAGTATTTTAAATAAACAAAAAAATGCTAAATTTCTTCTGCAACCCTAATGTGTATACTATCACGATTAAGAATCATTGGGTCAAGAGGACGTTTTTCCTCTTAGGTAGAATACACTATTGTGCAGAAAATAGCAGATCAATTCTTTTTTAATCAGATAAAATGTTGTCTTAAAAGGCTCTTAAAAGGCTCTCTTAAAAAACTCTCAAGGCACCCTGTTATACTGCAAATATGTAAAACATTCTTATTCAGTGTTTAAATTATATCTGTCCGAACTCATTTAATTATTAGCGGGTTCAATTGCGTATCTACCACATACTGGCGAGCTTCTATAGAAAGTTCGAGAGATTAACTATAATAATAACAAATTCTAAACTAAATCCGAACAATGAGAAGCAATAAAAACAAAATGTTATGCACAGAATATGCACTATTTTCGCTGTTTAAACCGTAAACTGATTCCCGATTAGTGTGAAACCACAAATAAAACTTATTCGCTGTTAAACAAGCAAAGGATTAAGCAATTTTTCAATCGATGTTGAGTCTACAAAAAAGCATTATATACAATGATCTTCGCTCCATCGTCACTTTTAGGATACCTCTAATTTGGTAAAGGGTAAAATTTTGAAGAAAATTGGTACCGTATAATTCCGAAGATTCTTCTTCTAAGCCGTCAGCTTTTTCCTGCTTTTTGGTAGTTTTCTTAGATTTATGTAGCTCGGCTTCAGCATCACACAAACCGCACAAAGTCTTGTTCCCTGTAAGTTTATTAGCATACAAAGCTAAGCGTTCACAAAATCACTAAAATGTGTTAACTGGTTTAATTTCTATGTTACCTAGATTAGAATGCTGGTAAGTACGTAATTAGTGTGTCATTTTGGAAATATTATTTTTCCATACTGTTTAAGCTGTGTGGCGTCGTATTTACTAACAAATTGCTATTGCGTTATTATTGTTTTGTGTTTTTAGAGTATGTGGAAACGAAAATTCACACAAATATGTGCTTCAACTGTGACTAATTGCACTACTCTAAATAAGTAATAGATTAGAATTTTCATGAAAATGTCAAGTAAATTTTCATTTTATCTCCAAAGGTTACTTACAAAAATAGACCGCCAATGCATCTTCAGTGTCGATTAGTCTTATCAGTTCGCTGCCTTCTGACGCTTCAATAATTTCTCCCGAAGGATCCTTTTGCGTCAACAGCCATTGCAGGATTTGCTGTTCGTCATACAGATCACCTGCATAGATAACTGGGTCCTTGGAACCCATTTTGAAGAATAAAATTGCCGGTAGAGCAAACACTCCTAAGAGTTTTTAATTCGTTAATAAACAAGCTTCATTACTTCGAAATAAAGATGTTACCATATTCTTTAGACAAAGATTTGTCGTCGATTTTAACAAAATTGATTCCTGCGGCGTCCGCTTCGTCGTCAATATGCTCTACTTCGGAGAGTACTTTGGGGCATTGCTTGCAGTCAGCACTATCTGAAAATAATTTTTATTTTAGGCATATTTTATGCTGCTTTTATAAAGCAACGGGTGTAAAAACTATATCAGTTTTCAGCTAGTTTTTGCATTATTTATACATCCAAGTAATTGGGACGTAAAGACACTCTTCTGGTCGCATTTTAGAAGATTTAGAACTGCACATGAAAGTTGAAAGTGTTATGATTTCAAATCAAATCAAATCAAAATATGCTTTATTGCCACGGAAAAATTCACAAATTTTATGGACAAAGTGAGTAAAAAAACAAAACAAAATACTACAACATAAAGTACGTACAGTACAGTCAACAATAGTGAAAAATAAAATAAATATAATAAAACAGTACAAAATATATCACGTACAATCGTTATGGACAGAAGATACAAATACAAGGTTGATTTGGTTCAACTTTTTGTAATGAGCAGTAACCCAACCCTCAGAGGCTCGAAAGTTCAAAGCTTATTAATATAAATCAAAGTGTTTCTGAGCTGTTTTTGGAAAAAAATGAATATGTAAATACTGACTATTTGCAGCGGTGTGGATTGGTTGGAATCATAAATCTTAATGATTAATGCTTCAATTCAACTATTTTTATTAAGGAAATTGCAACTTTTGTCTCAAATATTTTATTTTAAAATATTAAGGATTTGATCACTTCTACGCCTCTAAATGCCCGAATAACGACTTCTTGCATATTTTCGAAACGACTCCAAATAGTTCACTAGTCGCAAAAGCCATTTTGCTCGAGAGTGTCGAAACTAGACGTTTTTTCATTGGGTTTTAGCAGAAATTCCTAATTTTAAAAAACTAGAACTGAACTTTAACCGTAGAAGATTGTATATCTCAAAATCAATTAACAATATAAAATTCCAGGTGGTAACAACATGTGTGAGAAAATTCGAGCAGTTTTGGCTCAGAAAGCGAAATTTTATTGTCAGATATTTAGGCGCAAGATTTGACCAAAATTTTATGCTTTTCAGCAATTTCATCTCCAACACTGATTAAAATATTTTATTTCCTATTTTGAGAACAGCTATTTTCTGGAAATTATATTTTTTTTTCGATCACAATGATCGTTAAATGGCCATTGATAGGGAACATTTTGATAGAGCGCCCCTGGAATGGTCATGATTAGAGGGCGGAAAATATGCAAAGTGCATATCTATGCATTTTTTGCATATTTTATCCAATTTCATGAAAAATTGCATATATCTAAAAAATC